ACCAGAAAGATCAATTGGGATCCTAAAAGCCAAATCAAACACTCTTAGACCTTATGTTATTAAACTGGTTCGTTGCAAGACAAGAGCAACTTTTGGAAGCATAATCCTACGATGACTGCATTCTACTTTGCCATAATATGAAAAAAAATGTTTCATGGATATAATTCTGGCCATCTCTCTACAAAGAAAGGATTTTTTAAAGTTAATTTTTAATTTTAATACTAATATTTCTTAAAAGGAACTGTGTGTAGATGTCCAGAGAGTATTTTAATTTCTTGTATTGTTTGAATTTTTTTTGTAGTAAAATTTTTTTCTTGTATTTCTTAAATTTCTTTAATGAAAAAAAAATTTTTTTTTGTAGCTGTTAACACTCTAAGCTCTGGAGACATGCAGAATCCGGTTCAAATCCGCACCTTACAGTTTACCACCCTTGGAGAACAGGAGATAGTTTATCTACCTTTTCTTAACCTCGGTTTTCTTATTTTCAAAGTGGAAATTAATAACAATTTCTACATGAGGTTATTTTGAGAATGAAATGAGATAAATTCTTGTAAAGCACTTGGCCTGACTCCTAGTAAATACTCAATAATTGTTTTTTGTTGTTTTATCATACTATCATCAACTTTACTGACAGGTAGCCAAATGATCATTCCTCCTGATTGCTATCTGAAGGAAGATCCTTTAGATTATGAATGCATTGCTGGTAGTAAAATAGCATAAAAAGGGAAAAGGGATGTAAGAATAACAAACAAAATATTGTATTAGCTCTGTTTTTCAGAAGAAAGTCTATATTTTTATGAAAGGGACTAAGGAATATCAAAAACTAAGATAGTAAATATTCAATGTACACTATAACTAGAACTCATCTTTTATTCCACATGCAAAATATTCAATATCTATTACTTTGTAGTATCAATTGTTAATTTGGGTTATATAATCTACAGAAGATAATTTCTAGACTTCAAATATATTTTCCCATATGTAATTTTTCCAGCTCTATTTAGGTATGACTGAAAAATAAAAATTATAAGAAATAATTTTAAAAGTATTTAGCAGAGGACTTGGCTTGTAAGTTTCCAGGGAATGATGGGATCTATAGAGTCCAGAGATAAAGTGGACCCTTGCTACTTGAAGTGTGGTCCACAGACCAGAAAACTTTTCATCACCTGGAGTTTATTAGAAATGCAGAGTCTCAGGTTCCACCATAGATCTACTGACTCAAAACCCACCATTTAACAAGACCTGCAGGTGATTTAATAAGATATGCATATAAAGATTTGAGATTACTTGGGTTAGAGGTCATCTCCAACCTCTTTACTCCGAGTTCCTGTATTTGAGGGAGACATGGTAAGGGCAGAGTCTGAGAGGTGGGCCCAGCCCAGATGGCCTCGAAGAGAACAGATGATGATCATGCTAGAAAAGTGCAGTTTTCATAAATGAACAGGCATCTTTGCTGACCTTAACCTCCTAATTAAAAACACTGTTTTGGAGCTATCCCTCTCTTTTATCTCTCCTCTAGGTGTTTGGTCCATATCTTGTTGCGACTGCTCTTCTATGTTTTCTTAGAAAAGATATCATTTCTGGGCATTTTTGAAGTTGAGGGGTGATCAAGGACAGACATGGGTCCTGGAAGTTGGACATGGACTGAATATTGGAGCTTTTACAGCTCACTTGGTGATGCCAGCACTCTGAAAATGAAGTGGCTCAAAATAGGTATTATAAGGGTGCAGGTCGTTATGGTGATGGGAGATTGAAAATAGATTGGATAAGATGTTGAAATAATGGCGGTGGGAGAGGGGGGACCACCACAGTATATATTCTTTGAATTGTGTGTAAAGAAGTCATAGTCTGCTCCCATGGAGCTAGAGGAGAGCCTAAGTCAGCATCTGCAGTAATAATCTCTCTCTCTCTTGTTGGGAGCCAAAACTAAGAACAAAGAATCTTATAAGTCAGCATCTGCAGTAATAATCTCTCGCTCTCGCTCTCGCTCTCGCTCTTGCTCTCGCTCTCTCTCGTTCTTGCTCTCACTCACTCTCTGTCTCAAGTTATATAAATCCTGATAACTAAAACAAAATAAGCTAACAAACAAAATAGCAACCTTTTATTCGTATAGAGTTTTATAATTTCTATGAGACTTTTTAGGCATTTATTTATTTAACAAATATTTGTTTAGCACATAATGTATATCAGAAATTGGACCAGGTGCTGGGATTGTAATGGGGAGCAAAACATACACAGGCATTTCTCTCTATGAAATTTATGCTGAAGTAGGTTTACACTGTAGGGGGTTCGGCTAAGTTTTATTGAACATTTACTATATGCCAGTCACTGAACTAGGCACATAGCCCCAAGGAATCCGCTTAACATTTCTATGAGGTTGGCAACTTTATTTTCTCCTCAGATAGTGTTGATGGGAGTGCCCAAGGATTCAAAGTTCAAGTGATTTTGCCCAAAGAGATTTAGGTAGTTATTGGTGGGCCAAGGAAGAACCCGAGTTCATGACTCTGAGTTGCTCAGTCATGAGCTTGGTCTGCACATAGTCTGACAATGGCAGTGGTGGTGAGCCTTGAAGGCTGAGTAGGGTTTTGGAGACAGAGAAAAGTATTCCAGGAAGTGGAACTTGAGTAAATTGTAGAAGGCGATGACAAGACAATGACCTATGGGGAAAGGATCATTTCTGGAATTAAAAGCTGAGGCCTACAAGTGAAGACTGCTTTTGGGAAATGACAGACATTTCCCATGGTGGCCTGAGCGTAACATCTGCAGGCACTGTGGCTGGAAAGTAGAATTGGAGCAGATTGGGAAGGGACTTTAATGACATTCCAGAGAGTTAGTCCTTTATCCATTAGGCGACAGGGAACCATCAACACATGGGAGAGGGATAAGGCTGAGTTCTATTTAAGTAAGATCACACCTACAGTAAAACGAATGTGAATTTGGCACAGTTTGGCAGGAATGGTGGGCAGTACAAAAACAGTGAAAAAATTAGTTAGAAAGCTGTTGCTGTACTTGTTCACCCAGCCTCCCCACTCTGTTAGATGGTGAGCTAACCACTGCTTCTCAGACTTTAATGTATGTTTCAATCCCTGGGAAAGTTGTTAATATGCGGATTCTGATTGAACAGGTCTGGAATGGGGCCTGAGAGCCTACATTTCTAACTGTTTCTCTGGGAACCACACTGTGTATAGCAAGATGTAGAGAATAATGACAATGTGCATAGTTACATAGAGCCCCTACTACATGTCAGTCACTTTGCTGAGCCTTTTGCACTGTGTGTTCATTCAGTGCTCTCAATGATAACCAAGAGGCAGTTAAGATCGTTATCCCTGCTTTACTGGTAAAGGAGCTAGAAGTCGGAGAGGTTAGGTAGCTTGTTCAAAACACATAGACATTCTAGTCCCGTCTCTCTAAATCTTTTCTGCCATACAGAACAAACAAAATGCAGTCAGAGTTCGTGAGCTTCTCCTTAAATTTAAATTCTTTCTGCAGAAATCCTGTTACCACATATTAACCACAAGAAAGTTTCAACTTTTACTCATTCAGAAAGGAAGGAAGAAGCAGTTTTTTCTTTTTGTCTCATGACCAAGACGGCTCCTTTAAGGAACAAGCCTGCACAGTAGCAGGTGAAGATAGGGAAGCCCATAAGATCCGTGAAGCACACATCTTTAAATGTTCATGTCTGATGCAGTGTCTTGATGCAGGGGTACCGGGGGGTGGGGAGGCAGCAGATATGATGGGCCCTGGTGGGCAAGGAGCCATTTGTTTCTCTGTGTTAAATCTCGCGGTTGGGGACAAGGCCTGGCAAGCAGCCCAGGAATTTCTTGTTTCCTAATGTGGAGAATTCCAGGATGCAGGGAATTCTCCAGTTATGTTAACTAATCTGCTATTGCAACATCTATGGCTGGAGTTTCTCACTTCTTAAGGCCAAATCTGGAAAGCGAACTACTCATAGAATTCATTAGCAAAATGGAGAATGTGGACAATAGAGGGAAAATAACACAGGCTTCAGAGTCTGAACCCAGGTTTGTGCCCCAATCCCTATAGTTATTAGCTGTGTGATTTTGTGCAAATTACTCAGAGACTCTCATCTATAAATGGATTTATGATACCCTGTGCAGAGGGTTGTAGTGAGCATTACATAAGGCATTGGGTCTGCAAGTGACTGCTACATGTCAGGTGTCCAATAAATGCTTGTGGACCTAAATTCACCCTCTCTCAGGCTCCAGTCTTATTTCTTGTTGAAATAGCCCCAAACGTTCATCTATGAGGACATTCGCAGTGGGTCTGTGGAAGGGCATGAGGAGATGGGGGAGCTTGGATGATATAGTAGAATTTATTCCCATATTATTTGCCAATGAATAGGTTTTGAGATGGATGTGAAAATCAAGACCTCAGCTGCCTGGGACATGTGCTGACTAACAAGATGCATTTTAGCAGGGATGAGAAAGATATCGACCTTGTATGCTACAAATTTAAGTGCAAACGTGAGGCTCTGGATAGTCCCACCATGTGAAGCTAACAGAAAAGTGAAGGTGAACTTGCTCTACTTGCATTACTAGAGGTATAAGCTTTGGAACGAGAAAGTGAGAGATGTACTTTTCTCTCTCTCTTGGTCAGAACAGCCTTAAGACCTTTCCACACTGGATGGGAGCAGAGAGAGTAGGTCTTATCTTTAGAGGAGAGGAAATAAGGCGGTGAAAGAAGTGAAGACCATATATTTGAGGAGTTGTTTGGGAAGTAGAGTGGCTTAGCCTAAATAAAAATAAACAAGGTAATTGCTATATGTAATGATCTGAAAGTATAAACTGAGGAAGTGGGCTGAAGGAACAGAATTAGGAAAAATGAATGGAAACTGCGGAGACAAACTTCAGTTCCTTATATGGAAGAATTTTAATAATAGTTGCTATTAATCAGCTCCTCTGCCAAGCACATCACATTGCTTCGTGTCATCAGTCCTCTGATAGCCTTTCCAAGTAGACATTCTTTTTTCCATTTTTCAGATGAGAAAACAGGTTCGGATAAAGGAAGTGACTTAGCAAAGTCACACAAATCAGGATGGGTGGAGTCAAGAACTAAACCTCTGGACTCTGAAGACTCTGCTTGCCCCACTGTGTTGGACTGTCAGACAAACACGAAGCCTGAAGATAGACTGTGTTATCTTGGAAAGTATTGAGTTCCCTGTCATTGGAGGTGATCATTTGTCAAGAATTCCATGGAAGGAATTCAATAAAAGAAGTTTGACTCTGGAATCATGCCGCCTTAGTAATTAATTTGCTGAAGTTTTCTTAAGCTGTTTTTTAGACCTATTATACTCTAAGTGCTTGTCATAGGGCCTATAGTGAGAGCCCAACAAATGATAGCTTTGATAACAGGCTATACTCAGTTGCAATGGCCTAAAATCCCCAAGTGTGATGAAAAGCATTAATCTACACATCCAAAAAACTCAACAAACTCCCGCTAGTATATACTTAAAGAGATCCACACCAAGACACATCGTAATCAAACTGTCAAAAGCCAAAGACAGTGAGATAACTTGAAAACAGCAAGAAGCAACTCACCAATATAAAAAAAAAATCCTCAATAAGATTAAAAGCTAATTTGTCATCAAAAACTATATAGGCCAGAAGGCAATGACATGATTCATTCAAAATGCTAAAAGCAAAAACTATCAACCAAGAATTCCATATTAGATAAAACTATCCTTCTAAAGTGAAGAAGAAATTAAGATATTTTCAGTTAAATAAAAACAGATTTTTCAGCTAGCAAAACTGTCCTACAGAAAAAGTGCTAGAGAGTCCTTCAGGCTGAAATAAAAAACACTAGGCAGAAATAAGAATTCATATGAAGAAATAAAGAGCATCAGTAAATATAAAAGACAGTCTAAATATATTTTTATTTGTATTCTTCATATTTTTAATTTTGTTTGTATTTGTATTTTTTATTTCTATTTTTCTTCTTTCTGATTTAAGATTACTGTATAAAGCAATAAGAACAAATATGTATTGCTAAACATACAATCTATAAAGATGTGATTTGTAAAACAATAATAGCAAAACAGAGAGGGTTCATTAATAAATTTATATAGAAATGACATTTTTGTATACTATTGGAATTAAGTTAATATTAATCCAAACTATATTGTTATAAATCAGATGTTAATTATAATCCCCAGAGCACACACTAATAAAATAAAATATTGAAAGAATAGTACAGAAAAGACAAGGGAATTTGAATGGAGCATGTAGAAACAAATCACAAAATGGCAGATTTAAACCCTATCTTATCAGTAATTACATTAAATGTAAATGGATTAAATACTAATTGAAAGGCTGGGTTTGACAGAATGGATTAGAAAAACAATCTTTAAAGACAATATTTAAAAAATTATCAATGTTCAATAAACACATAAAAAGATGCTCAACGTCATCAGTAATTAGGGAAAAGCAAATTAAAACCACAATAATATACCATTTCATACATACAAGGATGAATGTAATAAAAAAAATGGACGATTACAAGTATTGGTGAGAATATGAAGAAATTGGAACCCTCATGCATTTCTGTTGAGAATGAAAAATGGTACAGTCACTATAGAAAATAATTTGGCAGTTTCTCAAAAAGCTGGACTTAGAGTTTACCATGTTATCCTGCAATTCTACTCTGGGGAGCTACCCAAGAGAATTGGAAATATATGTTCATACAAAACCTTGTGTATGAGTATTCACAGTCTCATTATTCACAATAGCCAAAAGTTAGAAACAACCCATGTGTCTATAAACTGATGAATGAATAAACAAAATGTAGTATATTCATACAATGGAATAAAGAGAAAGTATTGATATATGTTACAACATGGGTAAATCTTGAAAACATTATGCTAAGTGAAAGATGTCCATTACAGAATGCCACATTTGCACGTGAAATGTCGAAAACAGGCAGTTCAGTAGAGACAGAAAGTAGATTAGTGGTTGCCAGGGCTGGGAGCAGGGAGAACAACAACTAAAGGATATGGGTTTACTTTTTAGAAAGATGAAAATATTCTGGAATTAAATAGTGGTGATGGTTGCACAACTTTGTAAATGTATTAAAACAACTGAATTGTACAACTTAAAAGAGTGAATTGTTCGGTGAATTATATCTCAATTTTTGAAAAAGCTATGAGATAAAGTATGTAGATCTCTGAATATTACTTGGCACGTATGTGGTATTTACCGAACATTCTTTTTTTCCTTTCTTTCTTTTCGTCATCCGCTGTGTGACTTAAGACGTCAATCTGCTTGCCTCTGAGAGTCTCTGCCAGGTGATATTAGCTTATTGGAATGGTAAGTCAAGCTCATAATCCCAACTTCCTGAAAGCCTGATGTCTCTTTGGTCTCAGATTCACTTTCGTGTTCATAAGCAGATGTCTGATCATCAGAGTATGGATATGTATCACTCCTCAACTAGCATGCCTGAGGGTACCGCACCCAGATAATGTGTGACATGCCTGGGCCAGACTTTGAATGAAGCTCCTGGCCCTTGAGCTTCTGTTTAACTTCCTTTGCTTTTTTTTCCTGCTCTGCCATCCTGCCTCCTCTGCTGGGATCCCTTAGGGTCCTGTTTAGAGGCAATACAGGTGGTGTGACCAGGGCCAAGTGACACTGAGAGAGTCAGTGAGGTCTGTATCTTCGAAAATGTCTGTGTAGTGACCCAAAAGGGGGAAAAAATGTGCCACTGAAACAAACTGCAGCCATTCTCCAGCCCACCAGATGCATAAGGATGCCTGCTATCCCACTTGAGAAAACACTTTTAGGCTCCTTGCTGTTCAGCAGCTTCAGATCTCCAGGCCTCATTGGAAAAGAAAGTGTTAGAAATAAAGAATTTGTTTCTCTTTTTTTCCCTCTTTGATATCCTATTTTTATTTTTTGAATATATACTCAGAAGTAGGATTGCTGGATCATCATATGGTAGTGCTCTTTTTAATTTTTTGAGGAACCTCCATACTGTTTTCCATAGCAGCTGAATCAATTTACACTTCCATCAACAGTACACAGATATCCTTTTACCACGTCCTTGCTGACAATTGTTATCTCTTGTCTTTTTGATGATAGCTTAACAGGCCTGAAGTGATAGCTCAGGATAGTTTTGATTTGCATTTCCCTAATGATTGGTGATAATGAGTATCTTTTCATGTACCTATTGGCCAAAAGCATAAGCAACAATAGCAAAAATTAATAAGTAGGACTATATCAAACTAAAAAACTTCTGCACAGCAAAAGGAACCATCAAATATATAAACCATCCAAAATGTATAAAGAACTCATACAATTCAATATCCGCCCCCCCTCAGAAAAAACCCCAATCTGATTTGAAAATGGATAAAAGAAGTGAATAGACATTTTTCCAAAGAAGAGCTCATTTCTTGGTGTAAAAAAGTGAAATGGGAACTTCCTTGTTCAGAGATGACTTTTACTAGAAAGGCATTTTTAGTTTCTAATAGCGGATGTAAGGACTGGGAGAGGGACCCATGAGAAAGGAGGAAAGAGGAGGTGGAAGAAAGGACTCAGTTCCGAGGATGAACCCCATAACGAAAGGGCAGATTGAGGTCTAAGGTGAGAGCTGACCCAAGAATGGGACCTGGAATGTAATGCTCAGTTGTTTGTTCTCCTGCATGGTGATTCCTCAAACCTTTGCAAAGCAAGTAATAAGCCAGTTACAGTTGAGTTAGCTGGAGGATGCCAGGAAGGAGGTGGGATGGAGGCGAAGTTCACATTCGGGGAACAGGAAAAGAAGAGAGGAGAGAAGTCGAAGGTGATGAAAGGAAAGCTCAGAGCGGCATTTCAGACTGGGAAGTGAAAAGAGCCACGTGGAGAATGTGATGCCTTGGGAATAACGCTAATCCTGGGAGATGGTTAGATTTCTTTGATTTGTGTAAGATGCAGTCTTGGGTTATGGCGTATAGTCAGGGAAAGGTAACCCCAAGAAGCTGGCAAGCACAGCGCTTGTGGGTGTTGGATTCTTATGAAAATTTTGGAGGCTTCGTGGGAAGAATCTAGCTAAGCACACAGGAGAAGAAGGGACATGTGGTTGAGGGGAAAGGGCATAAACAGAAGTCTGAGGTGAGTGGGTTTAATGAGCTCATCCAAGGGTGTATCACTGACACATATTAGAACTCCAGCAAAGTCTGAGAAAAACTGAGCAGAGGAGCTAAGACTAAGAGTAGTGAGATGATATGACGGAAGGAGGGCCCAGAGCAAAGGACTGGCTAAATATGGGGGGGGGAGGCAGGCTGAGAGAAGGGGGTGCGCAGTATCAGGAGAGGGTGGAGGTAGCTTAATGTCAGGGGCCTGATGTGTGCAACACGAAGGGACAGTGTTCAATGCTAGGCAAAGGGGGAGGATTAGTACCAAGGAAGGACTTGTGCTGAAGACTGAGAGGAGAAACGCCAGTGACGGGGAGGGCTCAGTGCCCAGAGAGGGGACATAAGTGCCAGAGTGGGGAGCTAAGTACCAAGTGTTATTGAGACAAAAAAGGGGCCCATCTTCCTGCACGCTTCTGAGCCAAAGACAGAAGTGCAGGTTTTGCAGCAAAGTAAGATTTATTAGAGTTGCAAGTCCCAGAGACACAGCAAGCTATTGCTCACACGCCTGGCGCCCTGGGTGTCTCCGGAGTATATAGGGAAAAATCAGTAGTCAAGGGAGTCAAGGTCATGGCTGCTACCAATTGGACAGCTGGAGGGAGATGAGGCAATCGATGATTGTGTCCAGTTCTGGAATCAGCCATGGGCCATCCCCTCTGGTCCCATGGCCTGGTCTTGTGGCTGGTGGGATTGTTCTACCTTAATGGGCCTGGGGCTGAAACACATCTAAAGCCAAGATGTTATTTATCCTTAAAGTTCAACCGAAATCTATCGTCCTCATGATTATAGACCTGACCTTGGTTAATCTTATGTCCTAAGGCTTAATGATTAAAGGAGCAGGCTTACAGAGGATAGGGGCAGAAAAAACAAAAACAAAACACAAGTGACTTACAATGCCATTATCTGGGAAAAGTCAGCTTGAATCAGAGAAAAAAAAATATATGTTAAAGAAACAAAAGTTTATGTGTGGTTACACAAGGATAACTAGATCCCAAGTGGGAGGTTGGGAGGCCACATTTCTGCAGGAGCCCGGTGACCAGGACAGAGGAGGTCAAAGCCAGGGATGGCCAGGGAAAAACCTCCTATAGGGGCTCAGAACTCTCGAGACCTGGCCACACGGTCCCATCTGCCACACTGCTCACTCCTTGCTTCATCCTCCCCATCTGTTATGGCCGACTCTCCTCACTTGGCGTG